ATATCATTACACATGTGAAATCTTTGCTTCATTTTTTTTGTTTTAATTAGTTGTTTATATTGTATAAACAGATACAGTATCAATTTTTCCTTATTGTCTAAAAATAAAAAATCAGAATGACATTTAAGAAACTTTATTTGAATTCTGAAGTTTACGCAAAATTCTTAATATTTGGAAGTGCCACATTCAAACTTTAATACAATCTTGTACATCATTTCACAAAAAAAGCTTTACTAACTTAGACTTAAACTCTATTGTTATTTTTTTATATACACAGAGTGAACGAGCATCTTAGCAGTGAAATTAACATTTCCATTTATAAAGTCCAGCAGTGATCAAAAATGTAAACAGTACAGGAGAAAAAGAAAACCAGTTTAAGACATAGTGCAAAAAGCATTGATATGAAAAGGTTCAGAGCAGTGCAAAATAAAAAAAAATAGATATGGTGCTAAATGTAGTAGAACAGGGAGCTATTTCAAGGGATTTGAAAAAATGCATATATGATGTTTACAAGTGTGATGCAGAGTCCAGATTTGTGACTTGATTGGACAAAACCTTGAAACTCTGCCTGCAAACTCTATAAAAAGGAGACCAAGGCCTTGTGATGGATAATGCAAAACACAAACTTTGTTTTCCTTAAGCCACTTTGTAACTGGTGTCATGGTATGTTTGAAGGTCCTTTTGAAAGGACCGTTACCATTAAAGCTTTGGCTAATGTCCAGATATGTGACTTTATTTCTGCACACATCTATTTGGGAAAATCCTCCAGTCTCTCCTATGGTAAAACTACCCCACATGATACTTCCACCCTCTTACTTCCCAGTTGGGAAGGTTTTCTTCTTGTACAGGAACTGCTTTTGTTTGTTTGTTTTATCGTTAAATCTTTGTTTAATCAGGTAAGTCCATTGGTAGTAGAAAAAAAAGTACCAAGCATAATATAAAAAACATGATCAAACCTTATAAGTTTCACTGTTGATAATAAACGTGTATTCCCAGCTTCAGCCACCCTCATCTCAAGGGATTTTGCTTTATTTTTTCTAGGGGCTCATAAGCCATAAAACCCCAAAATCTCTGACCTGTTTCCTAAATCATGGCTGGACGTTGCCTCAGTGTTATACCTGCATATATTTGTTGGAACAGATAAGAGCGACACCTTAATGCATCTCCAAATAGTACCCAAGCAGTGATGAGTGCTTTACCCTATCTACAGTAGGCTTATCTTGCTTTTTTTTTTCTTTCTATAATTTCATTCAAGGAATCAGCATGTTAAAAGTGTAACATTGAAATCCAACCACAGGTGCTGCAAATCAGAAACTAATGTCATGGTTTTATCTGGGGATATGCTAAATGAGGAAAATAATAATATATTTACTCTTTTTCAAGTTTAGCAAGAAAAAATAATTTTGGTAAATGATATAAAAAATGAGAAATCTGACGTAATGTCAGACAATAAAAAGAATACATTATTTTTATTATCCCCTTCTGCAGTATTTATGGATTTTTTATCATTATTTGACAGACCAAGGGATCACAGATAAACATCAGCTGAAAGATAAAATATGTGACAGTACTTTTCCTATTATCAAGTGCAATTACGGTACATAATACTAAGCGGAATTCTTAAAACAACCCAATCAAAAAAAGAAATTCTTTCCAAAGTGTTATTTTACTAAATATAATTAAGTGCAGAACAATAAAGGTAAACTAATTCTATTCTGCCTATGAAAGGGTTAACAAAGCAAAGGAGCTGTTATTGTATTATCTTTATTTTTGACATTTAGTTTGAGCAAAAATACTTTATTTGTTATGTTTTTCTGCTTCCTACAGGAAGATCACTGCTATTTTATTTCTTGTGTAAATTATTATAGACTTCTGTATAAATAATCCCCCCAATGCAGCGCTCATGACCACAAAACATCACTTGCATAAACTGCTAATTTCTTTAGAATATACTTGTTTTAAGGAGGTAAACTGAAGCTTGTGTTCTGGGTGCCTCTTAGACAAGCTATTAAGTTCAGTGTCTAGATCCAACTCATCTGAATCTATACTAAATGATGAGGCAGAGAGTGTTGTCTGCTGCAGGTAAGATACTAACTACTTCTAACTTTTAAACAGAACCTCAGTTCAAAACTCCTGCACCATCCATTGATCTGTTTCTTAGCAATTTGAAGAACAACTAAATGGGTTATTGAAAAGGAAGGCCCTTTCACATCTCATATATGTATACTTGAGGTTTTGTTTTTATTTAGTCTTTAAAATAGTGCCCCCTATGATCTAAATCTAACAGGGTCTACTTACATTCAGAACTTGCCTGCAGAAATCATATCCACGTGGAAACACTCACATGCATGTGAAAACATCATGGCAGTAATGTTAGACATTCTGTTCGGATAAAGTTGAGGATAATGCAAACAAATCAAATGTTTGTATACAGTTTACATGCTGCACACAATATGATGCAATGATTGACGGCTGTGAACCATAACTTCATTCCACAGGTATCTGTTAAGACTTAAAATGTCTGACTTTGCTTTTACACAATTAGGCCTTTAACATTAAGTTCAAGTTAATTAATCAATTTAATCTTTAATTTTTTAACGTTACACATTTGTGTTACTGAGTTCATTCCCACACATGATCTCATATGTCACAGGAACTAAACATATTTGTTCCTACCATAACTAACTCCTGAGGGGTCACTGAGGTATGAATTTATGTCTAAACTAAATTTTATATTTTGCATGATATCTGTTGAGACTAACTAACAATGCAACTAACAAAATTAGATTTTTGCCACTGCAATATGTCTTATGTGTAAAGTTGAACTTTTCTTTTATTATTATTGTTCATCCTAAATACTCCTTCTGTCTAATTGCTTCTATTCCATTTGAATTGGATATTTTACCCCTGCATTTGAGTGATCAGCAATAATTGCATTTTTCCATAACAAGGAGACCCAGTTTTAAGCTGCTGACTAAGGTTTCCTTGGTGCAGTTGCCATCAGCTGTGAAAGACACACCAGAGCTTTTGGCAGGTCAGCAGCGCCTTGTTACAGCATGCTATGAATATAAACAATCCCAACCAACCTACCATTAGAATAGCTCCTGTTTCACATGCTGTTTTAGATAACTAAATGCAAAGTTTAAAAAGATGATTCTCAAATACAGCGAAGAAAAAAGAAAGGCTTAGCAGGGGCGTTATTTATGATCTTTCATTATGGCCCACAGAGGTCTGGCATGTGGTGACACAGTGAAACAACACTCAGCCAACATGCAACATAACAACAGACATCCCATGCATGTGCCATAAGAGCACCACCCATATGCACAAAAGTGGCACCAATGCACTTTGGTTAGGGGTCCTAAGAACTCCTATAATGTTGCTATGAAGCCATAGGAAGCCAAATAGTTAGTTTTTTTGTGCATGTGTAAGATTGATATGTACCCAACTATTTGGATCATTTGAAATCGAGGAAAACTGAGAACACATGACATGAGGCATTATTAATTTTAATGCCAGAACAATGTAGCATCTGTTTTCCAAAGCATTTTGACATAGAAATAACATAGACAGCTGAAAAGATAAGGTTCCAACAACAGTGATATAAAAATTTGAATATTTAAACAGGAATTTACAGGTTGAACATATGTTTAAAGCAATGTTCAGTTTTTATCTACAGTCTGCTTTAATGAATTGTTTCTTTCTTGAAAATTAGTTGTAAATGTTTATTTACTTTAAAGCTTCAATGAAGCTAATTTAATAAAACTACATGATTTATCTATGTGTGGATGCACAGAGGAATTTTCATGAACTCTTTGGTGATTGAAGGTATTCATAGATTGTATACATTAATTGTAACAATCAATTGTCATTATGAAACTATAATATAATAACATGCAACACACAAACACATAGATAACTTAAGTTAATTTATCAGAATGAAATCATTACATATTCAAAAATAATCTTGAGTAAATAGGTAAATGTTATAATTCATGGACAGGCGGGGGCGCGCATCGGTTGACTGCCACATTAAAACATTTCTTTAATTTTGCTCCATCTAGTGGTCAAAATAGTGTACTACAACGGTATGGAATTTTGAGAATAAAGTTTATGCATATTTGAAAAAAGAATCTGACTATATATATATATATATATATATATATATATATATATATATATATATATATATATATATATATATATAACGCCTAAAAATACCTAAAAACTTAATTCGTGAAAAGATAATCTATTTTATCACAGAATGTCGAACTATGTTCTCTGAGTTAAAAACTTTTAAAGTTGATATACATTTAAAACTCCTAATCACTTGCTGTCCAAAAATTTAAAAGCTTTTCTGCTGACTGACATCTTTAGTAGCTTATCCATCAAAGCCAAAAGTTATAGCTAAAAGACGAGTTCAGCTGGTGAGAATGCTGAATACAGCACATGTTAAACTTCAATACATTTGTGTAGCAAAGCAACTACAACGTTTTAACGATTTATTAAATATACCTTAAAACCAATTTCAGCAAATATATTCTTTTTTTTACTAAGTTTTTAACAAATTTTAATTAAACCATAAGCAATTACCTATATCATTTGAAGTGTTGCAGCACTTCATAATGTCAGGACAACGTAAAATATACTTTCCAGTGATTATTAAGTTCAATATTTAATGTAATATTTATTCTTTTTTTATGTTTTACACTAAAACAACCCAGGCTATATGCGTCAGACAAAATTTAACCTCCATGTTACAAGTATTTTATTTTTTTTATTATTTGCTTGTTGAGGTTTAAATGTTTAAACGCTCTATTCTTGTTTGTATCATTATAAAATTATAATAAAAGTCCTGCACATGTCCGCTATAAATAAGGGCACCTTCTGGTTCTTTTAAACGCTTAACCCTAAGAAACGTGTCGCTGATTGGTTAGATTCTGACATCCCAGTTCTCTGTCCAATCAGAACGCTTGAATTTTGTTGATAGAGTAAAATAGAAAAAAAAAACAGTCTTCAAGCTGCACAACAGGATTGTTTCCAACATTTCTTCGACTTTGGAACCAAAATGTATGTATTGAGACCTTAGTTCTCTCCTTTTAAAACGAATTCATCAAGATACAGCTTCGGCTGGTGCGTTAAATATTTGCCTTTTAATTCTGACATTAGCTAACAAGCTAGTGCTAGCATTGTAGCTTTCGGTTGATGCAATTCGATATCAATTTCCGCGCTTAAACTGCTGCATGGAGCGTTGTCAGACGTCATCTTAATTATTTCGTGTGTCTGTTTCCTGTTAGGTAGTTAGTTAAACGTCTGCATTCGTATGTCAAGTTGTTTTTATATCAAGACGAGCTAGCTTGCTCTGTAGCAGGAGAGCAAATGACGACGTGTTGTGTGAGCATTTAGCAATGGAGCGGGGAACGTCACTGAGCCAGGGGAGGCGCACGTCAACGCCTGTCTGCCTTTAACTTGTTAAAATAAAACAACTGCTCTTTATTATTATGTACTTCTTAGTGATCAAAATATTTGTTGCCATCTACAGTGATTGCATTGAAAGTAAATGTTTAAATAGGTCCTACTGAATCCTTTCTGCAGGCCCCCGAAAAGGTATTGATCTAACTAATTTATAATGAGTAGTGTCTCATTTCGGCAATATTTCACACGATCCTTCTTTTAAAGGTTACGGGAATGTAAATTAGTTTAAAAGTCTGTGCTATCATTTCCTATTTTTGCTTACATGTGTTTGAAAGATGTGTGGGCAAGATTATGGAAAATAAATATAAAAGGTTTATTTTAAATACCTCCAAACCCGTCTGACCATCATTTTATTGATGGCCTACCATTTTGTCTTAGACGGTAAGGGTTATCTCTATGTATGCTGCCCTTTTAAAAAAAAAAATTAATGTTTCAATAGTATTTCTTAATCATTGATATAACAAAAAGAATTGGATAATGACGCCTCTCTTAGATATTAAGCTTGTAATTATATGGAAACGATTGCTTCTCTTATCCATTATTATGTTTTTATTATTTTCTTCTTACGTGCTAAATTCTAAAATATTTCAGGATAAAAACATCCTAATAAATGAAGTACTACAAAAGTCATTAGCTTCCACATTATTGCTTAGTGTTGTGCTTCTTTTCTATTTACTGAATCCACTGACAAACTGTTTCCATTAGACCATTAACATATGTCTTCTTGCCAGCAGAAACAAAAAACCCAGAAAATCTGCACATAATTCTTGAAACATCCATTCCACAATTGCAATTAAAATGGTAAGCCATGTTAGATATTATTTTAAATTACCCACCTATTCAGAAGCCCTTGTCAGTGAGATGGGTGCTGCTTTTAAAAACAATTATCCCATGTTTTAATTTTTGTAATATTAAATTTTTAATCTAAACTTATTCTTGATGTAAAGTATTACAGTTTGTAGAAAAATAAAATTATGATATCATTTTCAAAGTGTGAGAAAAGCTTTCCGGCCAGCCTTGCGATTCATAATAAATGAATAGGTCCTCTTTTTAAATCATGAATTAAATGCGATTAACCACAATTATAAGAAAACTGAGTTCAGTCAACTGGCCACACCCAAGGTTACTATCAGAAGCAGGGCTCCAAGGTTTGTAAGCAAAAAAAAAAAGAGGCAAACAAAACGCCTGTCTAACATTTGGCAAAAGCATTGTGGGAATACCAAAGACTTAAGGGGAAAGTTTTCTCTGGACTGATGACTCAAAGCTGTAATGTGCTTCCCAACACATAAAAAGTAACGACCAAAAAAAACTAGCTTATTCATAGGTGATGATCTGGAGCCGTTTTTATTGCTTGGCTTACAGCAAATAATAAAACAATAATTCTGCTCTCTTCTAGTAAATTCTGAAGGAAGATGTCTAGCCATCTTTTTAGTGGCTTCTAAGCTCAAAAGCTGTTTGGTTTTAGGGTAGGTTAGCAGAATGATTGGAAGTGAGGCTGTAACTAAAGATTATTTTGCAAATCGATTAATCTCTCTACTTTTTCAATTAATCAGTTAATAATTCGTCAGCAAAAGGTTCCTCAAAGAAGATTTTTTACAAAATTAAACCAATGGAAAGTAAAACTTTTCCACTTGAGGATATGGATAAAGCATATTGACAGACAAAAAGTTTTTTTTTTTTTATCTTAAATGCAAAATCTTTATATATATTTTTTTCTACAATTTTGATATAATTACTACTCTTACTCTAAGTGGATTGCTCTCTCAGCTAAATGCATCTCTGTATACTCCATTTAAATAACTAATTATTCAATTAGTTGCCGATTATTTTGATAATTGATTAATCGCGATTGATACGATTAATTTTTTCAGCCCTAATTCTAAGCGCTGTTAAATAACTTTAAAAATAGAAAGTTTTAGAGAAACCTAGCAAAAGTTCGAACTTAAATCAGTTTGTGATGGTGTAACTGTTTCTCTCTTAAAGATATATTAGAAGATGTTCTTTTTCCGGGTGGATCATCAAAACAAGTGGTCCTCCTACATGTCAATCATTCTGGTAATATGTTTACGTACGGCCGTCCTAAGTGCTCGTACCCATTTTCACTTAACTGTGGTGGGTCTAATGTAGTGGAAAAATGTAAAATCTTCTTTTGGAAAGGAAGCCTGTATGAGCGACGCAAACAGCAACTTTTAAACAGAGCGTGCACGAGGAGAAATGGGCTCATCCACGTTCTCACACACGTTTAATAGGAATTCCCTAGCTGGAGCGGATACAGGGTTGTGCATGTGCATTTTTTTTTTTTAAAGTGGAGAGGGCGGGTCTTTTCAAAAATCTGCGAAAATCCTCCTATATCTTTGAGCATGCTTAAGTTTTTTTTTCGGGTTCTGATATTTTAACAAGTCTAACGAGGGGCCAGATACTTCTACTACATTTTACATCAGATGTTACACCTGTGTAGAAACATTATACTTTCAACTATTCTTCGTACATATACAGCAATTTATTTTCATAAACAAATAAGATTTTGAAGAACAACACACTTACTTGTTTCAGTATTAGGTGTCCTCTTTATCTTGGTCTCAGAATAAATTTTCTTTTCTTATTAAAATGTATAGAAATAATGGATAGCAACTGAATCTGTTACTACCAAATGGTAAGACTTAGCTTTTTACTCCATACCTACAAAAATCTTTTGTTTTTATGGCAAATAAGTTTCTTCAGGTTTATTTAAAAAAAACTTACAAATCCTTAAAATTCAGTATTTCATTTTAACTGAATAAACATAATTTGCTACATCTCTTCAAATAACCTTCATCAAGCCTCTAAATGTTGGAATTCCCTTTGTCTTAATAGGTATGACTGCTGCAGCAACCCTGTGTGAAGGACAGATATCAGTATCCTCAGTGAGAATGGATGACTCTTCCAACTTGTACGTCTCTGATCTTGGAGAAAAGGAGGGTACACAAGAACATCTGGATATCAGCTGGGAGCATATATACTCTCACAGGCTCCCCATCAAAGATCAAGACGCTTTTGTCTGCCAGGACTGTAACAGATGCTTTACCTCCAAACAAGGCTTAGAACAGCACATGCATGTTCATCACCCTTATCAATCTTTAGAGAAAATTTCCACAAGTCCAGACAGACAGCACCAGGAGTGCAGCATCCAGGATAACCAACAGCAGCCTAAAATGAAGGAAAATGCCGAGCTGTCGCAAGAGGAAATTCCTGAAGCGTTACTAAGTGAGTCATTACACCAACAGACACAAACCGAGAAAACTGTTTCTGCAGCTGTTTTGGAAAATAACGGAGAAGAAGCAGAGCAATTCATGCTAGATATGTCAAGTAATATTTCAGAGAATCTTGGCTTTTACATTGATGGAAATATACTGTCAACAGGTACAGTAAATAACTGTGAGATGGCGATACACTCTGGGTCCTCACCTTTAGTCGGACTGGACGCCCTAATTGTGGGTGCTGCCCAGATTGGCCAAGTTCTAAACACAGATGCAGAGACACCTGGTCAACAACAATCCAAGAGAAGAACCGCAACACCTCCCCTTCTACCACAGATCAAAACTGAACTGCAGTCTGAGGTGGTTGTGTCTTTATCCTCGTCATCCCAGCTGTCGCCGTCTGTGAGCATTCAGGAGGAAAGCATGGTGTTCCTTTCTCCAAAGCTTAAGCAGCTTGTTGAGAAGCAGGAGGTTTTTAAACCCACAACAACCCTCACTGCTGATGGGCAGAATCCCTCTATACCTATCTCACTCTCAGTCCTATCCTCTGGGTCAGGAAAATTTAGGAGAAGAACAAGCTCCCCAACCGGTTCCCCGCAGCAAACTCCAGCAGCAAATGAAGAAACAGGAGAGCTGGATCCATTAGATTTGGGTGAAGGAGGTAACCGACAGATTGAAGTTAAACATAACTCACCTGTTCAGCCAACAGGAACTGATAATATTGACATGGCTCAAACAATCACAGTGTCAGAAGTCAGTCCTTTATCATCTGAGAGCTGGACCACAGCAACTGGTGGTAATCCCTGTAACCAGCGACCCCTGGATCTCTCCAACACAGTCAAAAGAAATGAAGATGAAGCGTCAGCTGAAGCTGCTCTAGATTTAAGTTTACAAAGAAAGAGCCCTGGTGAACCTGAACTGATATTTAAGGGTTTAAATTCAAATCTCATGGAAAAGGTTTTAATTAAAAGCCACTTGAATACAGAAACTCCTGTAGTCACAGATTTAACTCTTGTAACGGGTCCGGACATTGTTAGCCCACTAGAACATGTCACTGAGGGGCTTGTTTATGGAATCGCCATACCACCTAATTCCCTGACTCCGTCCACTGCGTCGCTTACTCCTCTTACCTTGGAACCATCTGCACAATGCGCCATAGCATTTGCTTCCCCCGTCACTCACACTGTACTCCCTTCTGCTCCCTCAATAATCACAGTTTTAGCACCACCCATTTCCAATCCTTCAAGCCCACCCATTCAAGTACTCGCCCCAAACATATCACCTGAGCCCTTGGTAATCTGCACAGATGAAAGAATTAATGCCTCACAGTGCGATTTGACTGCTGCATTTGCCTCTGCAAATTCTGCAAACATTGTCACTCTCTCCCAGCCTCTTGACCCAACTCTGAACCTTCCCGGCCATGTGTTTCTCACTGATCAGATTGCGCTAGACCAACAGATGGTTGATTCTGTTCCAATGTCAGAGGTACCATTTCCAGCCGCTTTAAATTTAAATGATTCTCTGCTCAGCATTGCCAGCAACACCGTCTTAATAGAATGTACAATAGCTCTGGAAGCTCCAGGAAATGTTGGGCCAACTTCAGTGGCTTTACAAGAGAATTCTGCAGAGCCTCCAGATCCTGACCAAATAGTCATTAGTCACAAAGAACAGCAGCAGATTTCATCCTTGCCTGACCCTCCACCTGTTGACCCTGTAGTTCCTATTTCTTCCATCGCAGAATCTTTAGCCCCCACTCCCAACACCCCACTGATGTCTGATCCCCCTCCTGTGCTAGATTCAAGACCTGATCCAGAACCTGTTTGTACAGAGCTTCCTCCCAAAGAAGCTGAGGAAGTTTTTGATAGGTCTGTTTCTACGTCACCAAATACCTCTCCTTCACCTCCTTCTGGCAAAACTGAGGAAGAGCCCTCCCATGAAACAGAAGTTAATGCTGAGGAACAGACTTTCGCTAAAAACTTCATCTGCAATGTGTGTGACAAGCTCTTCCATTCAATGAAAGAACTTAGCCATCATGTAGCTGAGCATGCTGATGAGTGGCCCTACAAATGTGAGTTCTGCGTGCTGCTATTTGGCAAGCCATCTGCTCTGCTTGACCATCGATCGAGCCTCCATGGTGTCGGAAAGACGTATGTTTGCAGTGTATGTACGAAAGATTTTGTCTACCTTTGCAATCTGAAGCAGCATCAAAATGAGCTGCATCCCGGTCAGCAGTGCTCATACACAGAAGAAGAAAAAGGCAAACTTAGACCTCAGAACTACAATAACACGATTAAAACCAACACGGATCCTTCAGCCACTAAATTGGGAGATAAATCCATAAAATCCGTGAAAAAGGAAGAATGTGATGTTGACATTGCTGCAGATGAGGTGTTCACAACAGTTCTGACTTTGGATGGAGGTAAAATTAAAGGGCCGGATGTTCGTCTTGGCATAAACCAGCATTATCCCAGCTTCAAGCCACCTCCTTTCCCTTACCATAACAAATCCCCTGCTGGCTCACTTGCTTCAGCTACAAACTTCACAACTCACAACATCCCACAAACCTTCAGTACAGCTATTCGTTGCACCAAGTGTGGGAAAAGCTTTGACAACATGCCAGAGCTGCACAAGCACATCTTGGCATGTGCAAATGCAAGCGATAAGAAGCGATACACACCAAAAAAAAATCCTGTCCCTTTACGCCATTTTGCTAAAACTCAGAATGGAGTACTGTCCACGACAAATTCTGCTAACGGACAAAACACCTCAGTCAGAATCAGCCAGGCAAACCGGTCCAAACCAAGTCAAGACGCACCGGTCAAGATCAAACTACTTAATAAACGGAAGAAGAAGTTTGTCCAGAGGATAATGCCTCATAGAAACAAGTCGATTTCCTCAACAAATAAACTGTCACCTACACAGGTAGAGATCTTTGTCTGCCCACACTGCAGCAGGGAGTTCACAATGCGACGCAGCAGGACCAAACACATGGCCGTCTGTCCCCAAAAACTCAAAGAGATGAAGAAAAGAAAAGAGGGAGGGATCTCTCTCACAAAAGAAAACAACGAACACTCGCTTCGAGGAGTTTCCCATTTAAAGGAGAAACTGCAAGCTCCGCCTCGGCATAACACAAGACTCCAAACATCTGGCTCTGCGAAGAGGCCTTCCATTCTCCCAGTGCAAACCGTCTTCTCTAGCAAGCGAAGTAAAATTATCATTAAAGAGAGCATACAGCCAAAGCTGGAAGCGCCCGCACTGGCACAGGTTCCCATTCGCACGTTTAACCCCTCTATGCGGCAGTACAGCAGAATGCAGCACAGCATCAAAGGTATTCCCATTAAAATCACTTTTGTGAAACCTTCTCAGAAAGATGAAGCTGCTGCCTCTCAGATTCAAGGAGTAGCACCTGGAACCATCACCGGCTGCTCTAAGCAGAAAACCTCCACTTGATGACATAAATGGTTAACTAAGATGGGTAAGTAGAATACTTTAGAAAAAAAACAAACTCAATTGTACTAATTGCATAATAAGAAAGAATATTCAAAATAAGAACGTTTTAAGAACAGTTCATCTTTCATTTCAGTAGCATAATAAATGATTCATACTTCCACCTATCTAAGATGGGGTCACAGGATTAAAGGGTCCAGGATAGACATCCAAACATGCTTACACTTCTAGGTGATGCAGTTCCACTACCCTTAGGCACAAACCATTTTCGCTATGCAGGAAGCTGCTTTGCCTGCTTGTATCCAGGCTTTTGTTTTTTTTAGTAGTGACCATAGGAGAGGATTTAAAGCCGTGTTTACCAACCTTTTTTTGTCTTACCATGAGTGCCCCTCTCAATCAAAAATATTTATTACTGACCAAAACTGGAACATACAATAGTTGATTGTAAAATTAATTAGTTTTACTTTGTTTTCATCAAGACACCTGAGCTGCTTTGATGAGCTCTGTCTCAGGCTGTTCTCCACATCCAGTCTGTTCATTTATTTAACTATCTAAGAAATTAAATATTTTCATGTACCCCTTGCAATGCAGTAGCGGACCACTAGCTGTATGAGTACCCCCGGTTTGGAATCACTGATTTAAAGGATTATAAAATGACAATTTTCTTTTTTTGTCTCAGCTTAAGTTTTTATTTTCTAACCCCAATGGATTGAGCAAGCATCCAAATTCTGTATTAGCTCACAATAGCTGTGTTTATATTAACCTTCAAATTGCGTAAAACGTAATAACTGTACTAAATAGAAAAACTGCAATTTAGAAAAAGTCTTGTTTTTAAATTTTTTTTTTGTTATAAAATATTTGGTGGTTTTTCTGGTGCATCAGAATTTATATATATTCATAAAACTGCAATGGAAACCCTTTTTACCTTACTGCCTTGTAAAGAGACGAAGACAAACAATGCCATGGTTTATTTGGATTCATGTGGAGTCTGACGATGAGCATTAGAGTTGTGACTGAAATATGAACATGTCTGATGTGTTTAAATCTGCTAGGAAAATAAAATATTGATAAAACTAGAAGTACTCTTTTAAATTAATATTTTTCAGTGTGAAAAAAAAAAAGTTTTTAAACATATTCTCTGTGTCAGAGTCAACATTACGACCATCAGTACTCTATAAAGCCCTTTTTAGTCAGCAGTTAGTACCCATAGAAATTTTAGAGACTTGGTGATCATACAGTATAATGCTCTTCCTTTGTCCTTACTAGAGGTAAACGTGAATTTGAAGGATGTTTTATGTAAAGCCCAATGTTGTTGTTCTATTCATAACTTTTATTTCTTGTCCTTTTTTGTTGTTTCAGGAGTGCTGCTGTTTGAAACTGTTCATTATTCTACTGGGAGAAATACGAGTACGCACACTGGAAACCTAGTAGAGCTCGCGGCTGTATTATACTGTACAATAACTAGGTTAAAAAATGGAAAGGATAAAACAAACCTGTCTGTCAAGGGAACCTTTTATTCAGATGTTTGTCATTTTAGTTGCTTGGGTTTTTGAAGAAAAATGCTCTTCATTTCATGAATTTGCTGTCTTCAGCTTGGAGTTGCTCTCAAAGGCAATCTGGCTGCTTACTGCCAGAAATTGGAAAAATGAAGGAGGATGAACTGAGCTTAGCTTTCTGGTGATTTCTTCAGAATGGGTGGTTTAGAGAGCATGGCAGGTGGGCAATCATTTCTGGCATGCATTTGCACTTTTTTCTTGTTTGACTCTGTTGCCTTTTGGTTTCTATTTGGTACTGCATGCTGTCTGCGAGCTTCTGCTCCATCTATGTTGATTTAAGATGCATTTATGTTAATATAGCTCCAACACTGAATCTGATCATAAACCTTTACTATAATGGGTAAACAATTTGACTTGATTACTGTTAAAAAAATGTAAATGTGATGTTTTTTTTTTCCTGAGGTTAAAATAGAATTTAAAAATTTAGCACCATATATTGTAAACTTAGCCTAAAGCTCTACAATTAGTGTCCTCATGTGTTTTCTAATCATAATTCTTTTAGAAACACAGCTGATGTATGTTTTCCACAATTACTATGAATGTAACATTTACTGAAATTAATGCTAAAGAATTTTATAGCATCCTGCTGCTACTGAAGGAGTCTGAATAGAATGCTCTCTTGTGCCAATACATTTATTTAAAAAGGAGAAATATAGCATGACAGTGGTGAACATACTTCACTTTTAAGTGTTTCTCAGATTAATATATTTTTTTGTTGCTTTATGCCATTGTTTATTATTGAAATATACTTTAAAATCTGATCTGTTTGAAATTTTCATTTAGAAGTTTTTAAAATATTTTCCTAAAGTTAGGTGGATAATGATTTTTTGTTGTTGTTGTTGCAGCCAAATGTGCATTTACAGATTAATGTAATTAAACTACACCTGTGAACTCTTTTAATTTGCACTGCAGCTCTAAATAGAAGCACTGTATTCTGTGAAGGTTGTTGCATCTTTGACAGACCCAATCACAACATTTGGGATTTAGGCATTCTAATCTGATTTACCTTTTAGGATTTATGCTTTGTTTTGCACATCTTCCCACAAACCCTTAGCAGACCGCGGTTTTGCGGTGGTTTCGTTCCCATACAGTACTTGGAAGATAGTATTTGTTTTCATCCACAAGATAAAAACTGTTTTTTTTTTTTTTTTGCAACTTAAAATTCTGTTTTTTGGCCAGCTGATGATATTCTTGTGGGACAGAAAATATTTTGTTGCTAAGTCAAATCAAAGTATTTGTTTTCTTATATTGACTGAAAATTTGACAAATGACTGCTATACAGGGTAATTATTTTGTGAGATTGAATTGATAATTGTGTTATATAACTTATCTCACACCTGTGCATCTGTAATCTTTTTTTTTTTCCTGTCCTTTTTGGGCGAAGCTGGTATTTTTGCTTTGGTTCTGACTCTAACCTGTTGGATGTACAGGATGGAGCTTGAGACTGATGCTGAACTGTGACAAGTGCTTGTAGCATTTCAAAATGTAAATGGACTCGTGTATATTTATTACTAATTTAAAATCATGTTCTTAAATAATTCTTCTGTATGATTTGCACTAAAGTTTTTTTTTTCAAGCAACTGTTAAAAATAAAAATTTGAGAATGTTGAAGGAAAATGTGAATTTCATATGATTCTATATTTAGAAAATGTTAGTTATCAGTTGGCATCAATCGTTTTAGCTGACCTGCTTAGACAATAGTCATTGTTTTTTTAATATTACCGGTATTCTGAAAAGACTAATTAACAACTAACACTTTTCCTATGGTAAATGGTAAATGGCATGTACTTATATAGCGCCTTTATTCAAGTTAGAAAGTCAGAAAGTCCTAAAAGCTCACTGTGTTTCTGTCTTTTGTCTCGGTTTGTGACACTTACACGATTGGGTACAGCAAACTTTTCTTTATTTCTTCTAAAAAATGGCTTCTAGGATCCACATTTCCAGTAGTTAAGCTTCCAGTTGTTTATTTGAAATTTCAAAGTTCAGATAAAAATAAATACAAAAAAACCATCTGATAAAGTTGTGTTGAAAGTAACAAGCAGGTTTTGTAGATTAACAAAAAAAAAAAAGAAACAGACCACTGTTTAGAACATAAAAACCACTGATTCTGTTGGATTGATTCACTTAATAGGAGTAGGTCCAAAATAATAGTGTGACATTTTTTCTTAAAGGTCATTGATTCTATGAATTATTGTCTCACCTTCATTTATAGATAAAAAGAAGCAGCATGTTTTGAATTTGTTGCTGAAATAATGAGCACTTTGTAGCAGTTTTCAGAAGAACAGCATACCCTGTTTAAATAGTTTATAGCAGAGGGAAGAATGTATATGAAAGAAAATGAAAAGAATCCTTGGAGAAGATAGAAAATTGTTATTTTAACATCCAAAATGAGCTGAAGGGGGGACATTTAACCAAAAACTACATGCCATTCTATGGGAAGATACTTAGGGGCTGCAGACAGATACAGGTGGACCTCATTATAGTGTAGCGTGGCTGAAAAAAAAAATGCTGTATTATGAAAAAAAACAACCAAACACCCCTTTTTAGCTTCATCCCTGTTATATTTTATGTTTTGGTTTGGGTAATAATGTTCTGTATCCCCAATCCATTTTCATGAGCTAAAATAAAAGCTATTTAAGTGAATATAAACCATCCTCACAGTAAAAATGTGAATTAGCTGTGATTTTAAGAGGCTGTGTTGTTAAAGAACCTGTGTGGGTGGCCAGGTGGGGGCGCTGTTTAGTCACTGCAGTAATGATCATAAAGCAGAAAGCTTTTAAGTCTGAGATGCCACCCTGCTTCTTCACTTCTCACCGATATTCTGTTTGGTAAGACAATACAACAAAAGGCATGCAGTTTCAGAGTAACACTTGAACAAAAATATCAAACACGATCAGTCTGTAACTCGCTCTGCTGTGAGTCCATGAATAATCACACAGGATGCATATTTAACTTTTACCTCTTTTGTTTTCAAAGAGTTTTACATAAAAGTATTCCTCTAAGGAAGGTACTGGATATATAAGAAATGATTGGGTATAATGCATTTGTGTGAGAATGGCACAAATTTCCTAGGCATTGTGCAGTAGAGAAACTATGTTATTAATTTATTATTTATGTAAATCCCTTTGTTGTCCCACAATAGGGAAATTCACTCTCTGCATTTAATCCATCCCCTTGGAGAGCAGTGGGCTGCCATTGGCTGCCATTGTGTGATGCCCAGGCAGCAGTGCGGGGTGAAGGGTCTTGCTCAGGGACCCAGAGTGCAGCCTTGCAACCTTCTCAGAGCACAAGCGCACTGCTCTAACCACTAGGCCAACACTCCCCATTCATAATACCTGTATCCACATTCTGTAATTTACCAAATGCATGGTTCAGAGTCTGTAGTTTTATGTAATTTTTCTACCTGCAGACTTTTTGGTTTGTTGCCTGAATCATATCCTTTGACCTTTGAAACTCATGACTGCTGACTGAAATTTATTTACCAAGATTAAGTTGCTTAATTGCTTTGCTTGTCCACCCTTGAGCAAAGGTTGTGCTTCTATTTACATAAAGACTAGAAAAAAGCAGTGGCACGGCAGCAAAAAATTTTATAAAAAAATGCATTATTAAGGAAAGTAAAACTTCTAATTTCAGGAGAGGTGTTTTGCCTGAGTGAAGAGAAAACTAAACAGCTGCATATCTGAGTTTTCCATCATGCACCTTTGGCAAAAATGCATCTCAAGCTAAAATGTAACTCTATGAGAAAAATGCTTGCTGATTATAATCAAAAATGAGACCTAAAACCAGGAGTTGCATATTGAGTAAGTCAGGCAAATCCATTATAACGTTGGTAACATTAATTACCAAAAAATATTTCTTTTGTTTAGCCAATAATATTTAACATAAGATCAAATCCTTTATTTACATTCAGTATAAGGCAAAAACTGATTTTAAACAGAGTGGAAGGCTTTTGCAATACTGTGGACTGCTGTTGCCCACTTGCTAGCCTTTCTAGCCTCTGCATATGTTTACAATTCCACCCACCAAACACTCTTGTCTTTGTTCAAACCCACACTATAGTTACAGAGAACCTGTGAGGAAAATGCAACTAAGAGATTTCATCTTTAGATCACAATAGGTATGTTGTACTGGATTTCTGGTAACTATTGCTCTTTGCTGGAATCCTCTGCACAGTCCTTTGCTAATTCATACTACTAAAGTCAAAAGCATATGGTACAGTTGTATTTGGTCCCCTTTCCTCTGAAGAGCCTAAATAAGATAATGTCTTCATAAGCCAATTATTTTTAGAAGTCACCTATTCCTGTAACCAATGCTACAAAATATGACGGTAAACAAAAAAAACTGAAATAAATAAAACAGAAAATGCATTGCATTACTAGGAAAGTGCATTGCATTACAAAGTGCATCTCCCCTTAGCTCTCTACGCTGTAGATATTTTTACATCTAAGAGAAACATATTCCAGGACAACTTTTTCTTTTTTTTAAATGTTTTTTAGGTACTATATACACTCTTTTTCATATTGTCTGTCATATTTTTATGTTTAATGGCATTTTGAAATTTCCCTGAAGGAATAAACCCAAGGAATAAACAAAGATGAGTCTTAGGCTTTTGTATATTCATAACACTAACTAACTAACTAACTAACTAACTAACTAACTAACTAACTAACTAACTAACTAACTAACTAACTAACTAACTAACTAAAACAACTGAAATTACTAAATTAATTAGATAACTTAATCTAGTTGTAGTATAAACACAGAGTATTATTGAACATACTGTTACAGTATATAAGCAAAAACAGACAGCAGACAGGTCTGGAGTTCAGGTCAGTTGAGGAGAGCTTTGAGTCAGGTTTAGGGTAAAAAAAAACTGCATTAAACATCTCATACATTCAATCTGTAATCTGAACACCAAAATAGTTTGGATTAGCTGCAAACCCAGGAATGTCTTAAAAGGAAACATGTACTACTGTATGTTATTCTATGGGCCTGGTTAGGAAAATTCAATTTTAACAAGTTGAAGGTTCAGGTTGTAATAACGATGACTGTTGCAAAGCTATTTATATTTTTTTACATTCATCATTGTTTTTATAGATACATATTTATGTAATTTTTTTTAATCGATTGAGTAGCCCGGTTTATGTGACGCCTGCTTCCAGATAGCGCAAATCGTTAATGACTAAGCTAAAGTGAAAATTTGCAGGGGTGGCCATTATAGGTGCTGTCTGAAGGAAGCAGGTAGGAGGAGGAAGCAGGGTGCTTCTTATCGTAGTTTGTTTAGCACAGCTCCTTCCTATGTGCTGCAATGGGACTATACGGTTGCCCACAATCATTTAAGCCACATGACGTATAGAAACAGTTGAGCTCACAGTTTAACACATATACATCGTTTCTTCACGTCTCATCAATGTAATACATGATAATGTAAATCTTCATAATTTGGGGGTTTCATAATGAAGAGCTTCATTACAGTTACATTTTTTGTAACCTCTGCTGGGGGTTTCAGCCTGTTAAAAGGGAGTTTTTCCTCTCCACTGTCGTTAAAAGCATGCTTAGTGTGAGGGATTGCATTCGAGTCAATGAGTCAATGCAATCAGCTGGTTTTTCTTAGATAGAAAACTTTTAATCAATTTGACTGTATGATTGGGTGAACTGTAAAGTGCCTTAAGACAACATTTGTAGTTAATTGGTGCTATATAAATAAACTGAATTGAATTTGATTTTGTTTTTGCAGTTTGTTTTCGAAAAGTCTGTGGTCATGACTTGACAAGCATCTCCCATCGCTGCAGATACATGTGCCTTCAAAACCTCATCGTCCTCCAGGTTCCTCCTCTTATTATTTCCTTACCATACCCTTCCTTCCTTCCTTCCTTCCTTCCTTCCTTCCTTCCTTCCTTCCTTCCTTCCTTCCTTCCTTCCAGTGGCTGCAGTTTCAGATCCTTTTCGCCTCATAATTGTTGTATTGTATCTGTTGGATGGGTGACTTTCGGTCTACTCTGTTCAATAACAAATAAAGGCATTCTGATGCTGATGTGTATGCTCATTGTGTAATAACAATGTGTCCACAAGGCCAAACACTGTTGGTCTGCTGTATTCAGCACAGCGGTCTAAACTTCCTTTCCTACCCTGGATATTTTTCTTACTATTGAACCAGTGAAGGAATAGAAGCTAGGAACATCTTCTATGTCGAGAGTTGCTCCTTGCTCGGTGCTTCTTGTCCCTGACTGTAAGTTTTTTTTGTCATTTATTAAACATTTTTTCACTTACTATGCTGCTCTCGAGTACCTGTCTGCGTTCTGCTCAAGCTCTTGCCTCACAATTACATCAACAGAAAGTAGCTTGGTTAGAATAACTTGAAATACATTTAAAGACTAAAGCTTCCACAGAGAACATAATTTTTAATATGCAGATGGGATGTAAAGATGTCAAAATAGCTTTAAAACAGCTTACCTGCTAGCAGAACATCAAAGACAGTGTTTAAATCACAATCATGCATAAGGGAATTTGAGAGTTTGTGATAAACACTAGTGCTCTTAGTGTGGTCTACATAGATAAAATATGAATATTATTATAACACTGGCAAAAGGTTTTAAGCATATTTGA